ATAAAACTATTGGAATAATTAAATATAAAAAGGAATAAATAGTGATTTAAGTGCAATATCATCACTAACTGTGAGGGTAAATCTTGCTGTGGGATTTGAACTCCTGCACGTCCTTTTAGGTTAGAGGTAGACAACTAAGCCACATTATTTTATATTGCCTTATCTTTAGGAACCCTACATAGAGGGAACTATCCTATTGCATAAAACTATTGGAATAATTAAATATAAAAAGGAATAAATAGTGATTTAAGTGCAATATCATCACTAACTGTGAGGGTAAATCTTGCTGTGGGATTTGAACTCCTGCACGTCCTTTTAGGTTAGAGGTAGACAACTAAGCCACATTATTTTATATTGCCTTATCTTTAGGAACCCTACATAGAGGGAACTATCCTATTGCATTTGCAATCTTATAGTATTTGTAAGCCTTATTGGTGAAGATAAAATGAAGTGATTGACCTCAGACAATGTATTAGAAAAGGCAAGCTTTAACACATTAAACTAACTGTTCTGCTGTAGTCATAAAATAATATTTTTAATTGTAGGAATGCTTGAACATCTCATCTACTAAGGACTTGGAAATCAATTTCATAAATAAAAGAATGGTAGAAGCAGATCTAGGGTGGGATAAAAGACTCTTCTCTCCATGGGACTGGTTTAGAGGGATTGTCTAGCATTAGTTGGCACTGATGTTATAAGCACACAGCCATGAAGAAAAGGGAATATTAAACTGGACTTGCAGTTTTGGCAAGCCCTAAAACATCTTTGTTCAGAGTTCATGATCTGTAAATAGGCTATTATATATGAAAGCACTTCTACTTTGCAGAATCTCAAGAGTTTGAAATGCTTAGGCCTTCAGAGCATTAGACAAGTCTTTGAGTGTAGACAAGGGATTAGCAGCTGTCAAAGTCCCAGAAGGCCTAAAAGGCAGGTTAGCTGTGGCTACCTAGTGAAAGCCAAGGCCAACAGGAACATGGAATCAGAGAAGCGCCTACGTGGCTGCCATGTGGATGCAGGTAGGGCTTTTCCTACCCAACCCAGTTTATTTGTGTGAAAGAAGCCCAAGGGAAGGACTAGCCAACTGTTGGAGGAAAGTCAGCATTAAGCCTAAGAAGATACTGTTGTCCTGCTTACAAACTCAGAAAAGAGAGGAACTTCAATCTGGACCTGATATGTAAATCAGGAAGTGTAAAACTTTCACACTTGTGCCTTTTTCCTTCTGCAGTCAGAAAAAAAAAGAGAGTCTTTATTTGGATCCTGTTTACATCACAGGAAGGGAGCAATCCTTTGCATTCTCTTTGTTATTGAGTTACATTTCAGGAATGGGATCCTTACAGTGCTAGGAAGAACCTGCCACCTTGCTCCTGAGAGAGACGCTTTGTCTATGTCTTCAGAGAACCTGAACTCCTGCTTCCCTCGATGGAAAAATTCTTTAATGCTACTAAACCCAGAGTTTCTTAAAGATTGCCTCTAGTTTGGACCTTTCAAATCTCTTTTATCTACAAGTTATTTCAATTACAATTTTTATGTTAACAATCTGGGCCTGTCCCTAAGTATATTTTACCACCAAGTCCAAGTACTTTTTAAATTTAAAAAAAAAAAAGCCCTGTGTATTACTATCTTAGATGCAGCGTCAGACTGGAACATTGCTAAATGAGAATGGCCAAAGTACTGAAGTCTTCAATTGTTGAGACTTTAATCATGGATCCATTTGTAACAGGATGCATAAAATTGAAGGTATAAAGACTAAACAGACTAATTACCACTAAGATGGGGATGAACTTAATTACAAAAAGGAATATCTTCACTGAGAATGAAAAGTATATTTGTGTAATCCCCTGATGTGTGTTATAGGTCCCCCATCCATAGATAATAGGAGGTTGTTACAGTGACAGCTAAAGAGACTGGTTCTTTAGCTTGAATTGTAGCAGTTCATCTTTTTAGCTTTGGGGGCTCCTTGTTCAGTCCCAATGCATCAGCCAAGATGGCAGTATTACATTTGCTCGTAGCACTGCATTGCTTTCCAAGGACTTTCCAACAACAAAAGCCCTGTAGTTCCTATCTTATTTCTTTCACCACCTTCAGTTATCAGCGAGAGATTATTGAGGGTAAGGCTTTGTCTGAATTAGAAAAATTCAAATTAATAATTTATCACTGGTGGTGGTTATTGTAGAAGCTATGAAGTTGAGTTTAGGATTTTGACTCTGTCATATCATTCCACTCTGATTTGGGTTAGACACAATGGTGGTAACAAATGCCTGAGCCTTGTCTACACTTGTATTTACACCGTTCCAGCCATCTGCGGAACAGCACTGGTGGTAAAATGTGCATCAGAATTTTGCTACTGTAAATGAATACTAGCCCGGAGCAAACTCAAACACTGATGTTACAGTATGTGTCTGGCAGCCTAAGACCAGCTGTGATATGTTCACTAAATCTGTGTAGTGGGAAAGTACTAGCAGCAGGTTATTCTAAGTGAGGGGAATTTAACTAGAAAGACAATTCGGTTTTGGCCTGATAAAACTTAAATTTGTTGATTTTTCAGGACACAACACCAAATCTTGCTATTTATTCAGATTCCTAGGCGGAGTGTATAAGCGAGTTCCATTTTTTTTCTTGCGGGGACTAGCATTTTTGATTGCTTCGTTCAGAGAGTAAATATTTTTAAATGTATAATTTAAAGAGAAGTTGAATACAGCCTGATGGGTGCGTATCTTCTAAAACTAATCAGACACAACTCATGAAAGAGTATGATCACACAGTCGTTTCAGTCTGATTCCCTGACCACAGCTTTTTGGTTCCTAAGCTTCTTGGATAAATCAGACCCATAGAGCATTTTAATGTTTTCCTCATCACTATCTGGACAGGTTAAAAACTAAGACATGTTGACAAACCTGTAGATATATTCCAAATTAAAAGCAAACTGATAATGGATGAAGGGGTCTAGAATTGACTAGATAAATCTACTTGCTTTGTGTTTGTGTATGTATAATATTTTAAAAGCTGTTATTAACAAAAAAAAACTAGTATGTTTGAGTTTTAAAACTTTAAAAAGCTCACCTGTTAATCCAAGTGTCATTAGACCATTAACTAGGAGGGGAAAAGAAAAGAATGATTAGAACTTCTTGATTTTATTCCATCATAATGAAAATTTGTATAGTATTAGATCTAATACACAAGTAATATTGATCACAATTAATGATTCAACAAAACATTCCAAGTCCCTATATAACTTTAGTATGTCATAAGGGTTTATTTTTATTAGAAGTGGGAGGGGAAGATTACCATTTGCTTTACATTTATTAAAAAAGAATCTCCTCTTATCTGTCTTTTGATCTACACAAATCACACATGCATTTTAAAGAACTAAATGATTAATTCCAGGCAAGTGGCTGTATTCTGCTCATATATATACCCTATGCAACATCACTGAAGGCAACTGAATTGCACAGTGTGAGAGAGCAGAATATTCCTCAAATTGCGTAGACACAAACTCTACCTTTGTTGATACCTGCTCAACCCCCAGACCCTTCAATTAGAGTTCTTATGCACACATAGCTAAGAACAATTCAGCCCCTATTATAGAATAATCTTCCTATGGTCAAGTCAGGGAAGGCTCAGAAACCCTGGGAACCTGGCGCAGGCTGCAAATTGTGCTATGTGTGTGGCAAAAGGCTCGTGTTACCCAAGTTGTCACAGCAGTACAAATGCAGAAGTTGGGGGCCCACAAGAACACTTCAAAACCTTGCCTCTACAGGCTCTGGTACAAAAACATCCGTCCCCCAAAAAAATCCTAATACCCAGATTTGGGGGAATCCGCTGCCACCATCAAGTGTTTCTGAATCCACAAATAGGGGTAGACACTTGAAACCAAACCCAGGGTACTCTTTTCTCCAAAAGAGCTTGAAAAAGAAAAGAGAAAAACAAGCTGCAATCTGTGGTAGCTGATCCCTCAGTCAGGCATGCAGATACACACTGACAGACCTTCCAGGACACAAAAATCAACCAATACTGGCTAATTAGAAAAAAGAAACAAACTTTTATTATCAAAACAAAACTACAGGTGAAAGCATATCAAAGTAGATAGATGGAAAGAGCCACCAATTGATATAAATACTCAGGGAAAGTCCTTGGGCTAAAATCTTAGTTACAAAAGAAAAAGACATTATTTCTACATCCCTAAACAAGGAAAATAATAAATTCTGACAGGCTAGCTAGACTTTTCCCTACTTACACTTTGTAAGAAGTCCATTCGTGGAGAGAGAAGCATCTCCCATCTCCCTCAGTACTTGGAAGAAAACGCTCTGCCTCTCAAACACCGAACAGAGAGATTCCTACCTGCATTGTTATTGGCTGACCACCGGATACCTGGCTAGGTACAGGAAATACTAGTTAACCCCTTCGTCACCGGGTACTGGTCAGCACTTCTGATTATGACAAAAGTTATGCTTGAGCCTTGGGTCAAATGCAAACATGGGGGCCAACAGCTTCCACTGGCCCTGGGCAAGGTGGGGGGGCTATTTCCATGCTCCGGGATGGGACAGGACCTTGGTTATAAAGGGGTGGGGCCAGGTCAGCCTGCCTTCCACTCTGCCCGCTGCATGCCATGCTGCCTCCTCTTCCCAGCCAGTCACCCTTACATTTCCTGATTTCCTCTGGAAATTTCTATCAAGGATCTTTAAGTATTTTGTAGCCATAAATGAAATAACTGTCACTGTACCATTGCAAGGTAAGTCAGGACTTAGCTTACGTAAGAAGGAACAGGTATAAGAGGTAAGAATATAGCCACATTTCACATGTGGCCTAATCAAAGCATAGAGAAGTTACTCGACTTTCACAGTGTCACATAGGAAGAGCAGGGCAAAACCTTCAATAGAGCATAGCTCCTGGCTCTCAGTCTCATGTTTCAAACACAAGACTATCAGCCAAGTGAAAAGGAATTTTAATAGTATTTTTATCTCAACTGATACTCATAACACCTTTTTGCCTCAGGAGTCAGTATTGTGCAGATCTGCAGCCCTAATGCTCTCTTTGGCTGCTGCCTCTGTGGTTATTCCTACACTGCAGTTCTTTTTCAGAAAAAGGTGCCTTTTCCCAATTCTTTTTTTGGAAGAGGCTTTTCCGACATTTGGCCCATCTACAGGGGACCAAATGTGGGGAAAACCTCCTCTTCTGGAATATCCCTTCTTCCTCATAAAATGAGGAATACGGGGCTTCTAAAAGAACGCGCCCGCTTTTTTGGAAACTGATCTGAAAAAGCAGACGCATTCCCTGGACGCAGCAGTTTTTTTGGGATACCTCCAGTACCCCAAAAAACTCTGTAGTGTAGACATAGCTTGAGCTGAACATACTCATCCTTTGTCTGTGTTCTGTGACCTACTCCTCTAGCCAAGATGCATCTCTGGTCTCATATCCTCCTGAGATATCAAAAGTCCAACATCACAACCTCCAATCAGTCTGTAACAAAAAGGATCTCCTGCCCCTCTCTAGGGATGTGTTAAGATCCCCTCACTTCTTTCATGGTCCTCTATCTCAGGAATTGTCTTACAAGAGCTTCTCTTGCTCCCACCAGGAGAATTGTGGCATCTCTGTAGACTCTCCATCACCTGAGTTCCCTCAGACTCCTTCCAAGGTCCCACTATCTAATGGATTATTACCTACTTCCACCTCTTCTAGCCAGGAGGAAATCAATCAGTCACCCCACAGGTGCAGAGCATGCCTCTGACTGAGGATTTCTCCCCCTTCTCTAGCAAATGACTGGAGAAAACTGACCACAGGCAGGTTTTGAGATGTAAAAGAAAAATGGTATGGAAGGAAGACAGGAGAAAGCAACATGCAATAAGGAAACAAGAGTTCTTTTATTACCACACATTTAAAAATCATATGCCTTAAGGCTTTGTTTTCACTGCCAAACAAAGATTTGTTTTTACTGTGGGAGGAGTGATATGCATCCTACTGTAAAACCCTAGAGGAGACAAGGCACTGTAGTTTTTACAATGATATAAGAGAGATCCCACTAGATCCCACCTCCCCAACTTCTGATTGACCCTCTGATCCATGTAGCTCATAGTAAAACTACAGAGTCTTATCTCTACTAAGGTTTTACAGATAGATGGGCAGCTAATGCACATTAGTTAGCCCCTCACATATCCTCAGCTGCACTGTGGATTTTTACTGCACATGTTGCACTCTGATCTTGTACAGGGAATTTCTACTGATGTCAACAAGAGTTTTACACTGGGATCCAGGCCTATATAGAAATGTAACCGTGTGGCTGCACAAGAGGAGAATTTTTGTCCTGTAATCATGCAAGCGAAGCTGTCATCGCTGGATTTTGGTGACATTGATAAATTGCTCATAGTTCATTCTTACAATAAGCTATCACTAGAACTCTTTCATAGGAGTGTGGGTTTTTTCCCCCACAGTATTATTTGCAGAGTACCTCAATTGCCATATAAATTTAAAATAGCATTTGGATTTTATGTCAGTCTCTATTAAAGATGCCCCAAAACACTTTTCAATAATGACTTTCATACCTTTTGAAAGTTCATAAGACAGAAAGTTATTACAGTATTTCCCTCTTGCCTAAATAGTTCTTCAGGAAACTGCAATTTATATCAAGACTCAATGATTTTAGATAATTATAATATTTCCCAAAGGACACGTGAAGTACCTCTTCTTTTATCTGGCTTGCGTATGCACCTCTTTCCTCAATAATGGTAGCACTGTTTAGTGTGTCCTTTGATGTACCCACACTAGTCTTTGAAATTTGTCTTGGCCACTCCAAAAAATTACTTACTCTTTAATCCCATTTTTCATTAGCTGAAAGACAGGAGCAATTTTATTTCTCTATCTTTCTGTTATCACAGAAGTTTTAATATATTGCCATCAGTTCTTATATTTATCCCACTTTAATTCCCAAAAGATTCCAAAGCATTTGAAAGCCACTGATACAAATATATTCTATATCAGATATGTGATATGTGACAGGTTTATCAGTAGTAATGCAGAAAAGGTAGAAGGGTTCAATAAATATTTCTATTCTGTACTGAAAGGAGTCCTGAAAGGAATATTTCCTGAATGTTCTCTTCTGATCTTCTGCAAACATCCAGATAGGGAACAAAATTCACCTTGCAGCCCACTGTGCCAGGGGCTGTAACCAACAGAGAAGCATCCCAAGAGAGACAGCAGTGTTCATAACTCTGCCCTCAGCGAGAGTTCTGCCAAGGAAAACAAGCTTCATACCATGACTGGACTCCACAGACACCCCACAGACACCCCTCTAACTTTTTCCATCTCTGTGCAGAATACATTTTGTTTTGTGCACCATGGGATGTGCAGATATGCACCACCACCCTTGTGATGACTTTTCAGATCTGTTTCACACCACCCCCAGACTGTGGCCTGAGTTACATGAGCAACTGGATATAGCCAGTGATTTTACAATGCTTTGCCCTGCTTAATTTTCATTTACCAACAACATGAAGATGTTAAGCTGTAAATGGAGATGCTACACCTGGTAGGACTGAATCATAATTCAGCAAAAGTCTGTTGAATAGATTAGCCCTACAGCCATAGACATGCAACATGCTAAAGAGAAAGCTGAACAGACTCATTGAAATGAAAACTGATGACTGATATTTCCAACATGAGCACCCAACCAGACATCCTAGAAGCAGCTCACCAAAGAGCAAGACCTTTAGGGCTACTAATGACTGCATTGTCATTGCAAATTGGTGTCACCAAGGAGCCCATGAAAAGAAACTTGGCCCTCAGGTTAAAGAACATCTAAGGAGGAGGAATAAGCAATGGCAGGAATAGGGCCTGAGAGAATCAACATGGGGGAAACCTCATTAAGAATTAAACACCTTTTTAAATCACTTTTTGTAACACAGATGGAGCTCAGTGTGAGACAACTCAATATGACAACTGTGGTGTTAAAAGTCACTGCAGGTTGCACGTCCCAAAACTGGAATTCTCTGATCCAGCAACATCGGTGATCCAGCAGGACTACGGTAGCCTAGTAGCAGGAGGGCATGCCTCTGACTGAGGATTTCTCCCCCTTCTCTAGCAAATGACTGGAGAAAACT